AAAACCACCACCGCATCATTGCCCCTGAGGGATGGAGCTGCCACCCCCCAAAGCCAACAGAAGCTCAAATTCAGACCCATGTAAGCCCATGTTAAAAATATCCAGGCTGATATGGTTCAGGTGAACCCTGTCCCTCCTAACTAGATCCCTGTTATACCTCTACAGTTCTTGATGCCAGATAACCACACCTCCTATATCCTTGATAAACCTAGACATTGTAAGATTGAACTTTCATCTACTCCTCTCCAACACCTTCCCATTAGGAAGTCCAAACTGGCTGGTAAACCATCTCTGACCATATCAGTATAACATCATCAAACAGGGCATGGCATGTGGCCATATCATGTTTGCATGAGTGTATAAGGTGCCCTGTTCTACCTCTCCCCAAGTTGTTTTACTCTCCTTAAGTTTAAATAGCAATCCAAACGTGGACCCTTTGCTCGTGGGATATTGGCTATAACTCACAAATGATACCTTACAAGGATGAAACAATCGTCTGGGGTTGCTGTATCTCTCATGCAGAAGGAACTTGCTGGCATTTTGGATCTGGACTGCCCGTATGGGTGAGACCAGTCTGATATACTTCAGATATGTTCTCTCTGTAACGTCACAAGATTAGCTAAAACCAGCTGGAGATCTGAGCGGGGACCCACGGAAGGGCGAATAATTGAGCTTTTGTACGTTCTCCCCTGTCTTGCTACTTGTTTTTCTCTACTAACATAACCAGACCCAATACAAACCACCTGAAGGCAATGCATTCCAGATATATTTGGGCCCACCTTAAATATTTATTACCTCTCCATCTCATCCTGACCATGTCATAAGGGAGTTAAGGTTTATGCCATACGAACTATCTCCATCCTATGTGCTGACCAGTATATATAGGAATGCCGCAGAATCCAAAACGAGGGTGGGGACCTAAAAGAATAGTTAATCTCACAGAAGGCACGAATGAATATAAAGGCAAAACCTCTAAGAGCTCCAGCGCCCTAGCTGTCGCATGAAATAGTGATGTCCCGAACGGTTCGCTGGCGAATAGTTCCTGGCGAACATCGCTTGTTCGTGTTCGCCACAGATGGCGAACATATGCTCTGTTCGGTCAGGCCCCTATTCGTCATCATTGAGTAAACTTTGACCCTGTACCTCACAGTCAGCAGAGACATTCCAGCCAATCAGCAGCAGACCCTCCCTCCCAGACCCTCCCACCTCCTGGACAGCATCCATTTTACATTCATTGTGAAGCTGCATTCTTAGTGAGAGGAGGGACAGTGTAGCTGCTGCTGATTTGATAGGGAAATTGATAGCTAGGCTAGTGTATTCAGTGTCCACTACAGTCCTGAAGGACTCATCTGATCTCTCTGACCTCACTACCCCCCACACCCTCAGCCTCACTACCCCCACACCACCCTCAGCCTCACCACCCCAGCCTCACTACCCCCCACACACCCTCAGCCTCACTAACCCCCACACCCTCAGCCTCACTAGCCCCAACACCCTCAGCCTCACTACCCCCACCACCCTCAGCATCACCCCCACACCACCCTCAGCCTCACTACCCCCCCCACACCCCCTCATCCTCACTGCACACCACCCAGCCTCACCACCCCAGCCTCACTACCCCCCACACCACCCTCAGCCTCCTACCCCCCACACCACCATCAGCATCACCCACCCCCACACCTCAGCTCACTACCCCCACCCCTTAACCCCACTGCCCCCCACCACCTCCCTCCCACCACCACCCTCAGCATCATCCCCACCACCCTCAGCACCCCCCCACCCTCAGCATCACCACCCCCACCCTCAGTCTCCTACCACCCACACCACTCTCAGCCTCACCATCCCCAGCCACCCTCAGCCTCACTACCCCCCACCACTCTCAGCATCACCACCCAGACACCACCCTCAGCATCCTGCCAGCCTCACTACCCCCCACACCACCCTCAGCATCCGCCACCCCCAGCCTCACTACCCCCACACCACCCTCAGCATCACCACCCTCAACCACCCTCGGCTTCCCCCCACCACCCTCAGCATCACCAGCCCCCACCACCCTCAGCCTCCCCCCCACCACCCTCAGCATCACCACCAAAAACGCAAACATGCACACAGAGACATACATTCACACACAAGGATACTCTCTGTCACACTCTCAGGCACATACACAGGTAAACTGTGCATCAATGTGTATATGTGACATATACATATATATATTAGATATTTTGGACTGTAATATAATAGCAGTCAGTTTCCTTCACGAGTGTGCGTTTCAGGGCCTGCCCAGTGCCACCACTCACTCACTGGTGTCCCAATAGCTTGCATTTAAAAAAAAAAAAACTTTTTGGACTGTAATATAATAGCAGTCAGTTTCCTTCACGAGTGTGCATTTCAGGGCCTGCCCAGTGCCACCACTCACTCACTGGTGTCCCAATAGCTTGTATTTAAAAAAAACAAAAAACTTTTTGGACTGTAATATAATAGCAGTCAGTTTCCTTCACGAGTGTGCGTTTCAGGGCCTGCCCAGTGCCACCATTCACTCACTGGTGTCCCAATAGCTTGCATTTAAAAAAAACAAAACTTTTTGGACTGTATTATAATAGCAGTCAGTTTCCTTTTCCTTTTCCACGTGTGCGTTTCAGGGCCTGCCAGGGCACAGTGTCACACCAGTGCTACTCATATCTGGTGTAACAGTAGTGTACATTTAAAAAAATATATATATATTTTTGACTGTAATAGATTGAATAGCAGTTAGTTGTCTGCAAGCGTGTGTGTCAGGCCTACAGCGTCTACTCTGCCAATTTCTGCCACTGCACAGTGCCACTCATATCTGTTGTCACAGTAGCTTGCACGCATAGTACCACTAATCGAAAAAAAAATGACAGGCAGAGGCAGGCCACCCCGCAGGGGCTGTCGTGGTCATGGTGCTGTGATTCCCTTTGGCCCTAGAATAATGCCCAGTGTTCAGAGGCCACGTACCCTGAATTCAAAAAGTTCTGAGGACATACTTGTCTGGCTAAAACAGGACACCCAATCTTTTACAGCTTCCACTCGGAACCTTGACGCACCATCTTCCTCCAGCTTAGCTTTGGGTGGGGAGGCTGAGGGTGGTGGTGAGGCTGGTGGGGGGGTGGGAAGGCTGAGGGTGGTGGTGAGCCTGGTGGGGTGGG